AGGTTCTCTGAAAAAGGCAAATATTAATAGAAGTTAAGGACTAAACCCTTTCCCTTGATGCAGAGCCTGTGTGCTCAAGGTCAATTTGCCTTGAAATTTGTTGGAAACACACCCATGTTTTTTATCCTCCAAATAGGTGACTTGTTTTGAGTGACGAGGAAAACCCGCAGCCACTACCTGACGGTGTGTTGGGTAAACCCCGCCTTGTGACCCTGCCGACAAAGGACCACAAGGAGGTAAACCAGCCTAGGTTGCTCATAGGTGACTTGTTTTAATTGTTGCAATGGTTGCATGCCATGAACATATGATGATATTGGTTCTCTACAAATCGGTTAATACTCAATACACTTTGTTGGTAGCATCTATGTGATTGTGATTTGATGAATTGATGCATCATTTAAGAGATATGCTCTTGTTGTATCTAGGTCGTTGTCAAGTTGCATGGAGTTTCTTAGTTTTAAATTGTCATTCTCACTGAAATTTCCATCTTCACATACTACTTGGACCGGAGCATTAGAAACATCCATGTGATTTGAATGAACCATATGCATGATGTATATAGTGCATCGTTAAGTTGCATGGAGTTTCATAGTTTTAAATGGTCATTCTTACTGAAATTGTCTATATTCTTATACTCCTTGGGCATGATTCAAGAAAACAAAGGCCTATATCCCAATCTTTCTGGAGCTGCGCTTGTTTGCTCTGTGCCTCCGTCGGGTAATAGGTTAGTCCTGAGACAGTATAAGCTCTTCTTTTGGATTTAATCATTTAGGTCAATAACATTTTATCTATATACAGTGGATTAGTGTGGCGATATCTCTTCTCCAAACCTATTGCTGCTTTTAAGGTTTGTCGGTGTATTTAAAGAACAAGTTAGATGGTTGAAGCAACTTAAGTTTATTTTCTGGTTTTTGTGTTTTTATTAATGTGACATGATTGAATCCAACATATTGAGCAGGTAACAAGGAGCCTGGCGGCGAAAGCTTTCCAAACCTCCCTACCTCTTTGTAAAGAAACATTTTTTTATGCGACAATGGATGATCAGCTGGTCCTTCGGTTAGTGCATGAAAAATCCTATAATTCTTACTGCTTTGTGTTTTAACTGAAACATTAAACATGCATCTATTGCTAAACACGTTTTCTTCTTTTGGAATGTGTTACCAATCTGCTTATTTGTAGGAGGAGGTTAACATCTCAATTTCAATCCTGTACTAAATGCATTTTTTTTCCAGTTACCAAAAGCTGATGACTGAAAGTTCGAGGTTGCCATTGTTTGATCTGAGAAAGCTGAATGCATCACTCCCTGTCCCTCCATTGGCAGATTCTTCGTTGAAAGTTCTTGTATTGGGTGCGAAGGATGATTTCATAGTGGTAAAGTAAACCCGATTTGTGATGCTTTGATTTATATATACACACGAAGGACATCAAGATGGCTATCTTCAATGCCTCCATAACTTTCATCTTTTACTAGACCATTGTTTAAAAAATAAAAACTCAATCTGATAGGAATTTCGATAGTACAAAAATTACGTATATAATCACTATTAACGAGTGATGGTGCATTCCACTTTGTAGGATTTCGAGGGGCTCGATGAAACGGGAAGGTTTTATGGAGTATCACCTGTCTGCATCGAAGGAGTTGCCCACGACTTGATGTTAGATTGCTCATGGCAAAAGGGTGCAGAAGAAATTTTGTTATGGTTGAGTAGATTGAATTAGATGGAAATATGAGTGTGGGGGAAACTGGCCCAGATTTACCAATCTGCAACTTCTCTTTATAGATAGATGCATTGAGATGGCTGGTTTCTTTTGCATGTTCCCAGTAAACTTTGTGTAACACAGTAACAGATCTAATATTTCAACTTCATATTCATCTTCTTTTCTTAGTCCTAGTTTGAGAAAGCATGATTAGGAGATGATTCATAATCTTCAAAATAGTTCCTTAGATTTCATTAGATATCAAGCAAAAGAAAATGAGTGCTCGGATGGGTGAAGTATGATTTTTGTACATAATAGTTTATTAATTAGTAATTAGGCAACTTGGATTACGAGTTTTGGACACTCCTTTGAACAATTTACTGGATGGAGAGGTGGAGGCCTGGAAGATCAAGTCCGCCATCTTACTGTCTATTGCTTATTGTGATTTGAATACCCAAGTATAAGAAAACATAATTGAGCTTTTCTATGTCTTTTTTGTTATAGTGGCACATAACTTTAGACCCATCTTAACAAATGATTATATTTCGTGGTTATGAATGAGCCAAATTACTCAATGAATATTTAAATTCAATTTGGTTATTGTCTAGTCGAATTTGAACTCAACTAGTTTTAGAAATGAATTGAGTTGAATAAATTTAGAAAATATAGAAATACCCCTGAAAATAGAAGAAGATTTAGAAATAAGAGAAAATTTAGAAAAAGGAGGAAAATATAAGACCATTAGAAGGAGAAAATAAAAAATCGTATGAATGTAGATGTTGGAACTATAATGAAAAAGGACACTATGCAAATAAATGCCTTAAACTAAAATATAAAGGAATAAAATATCTTAATACTACTGAATTTATAATGAATTTATAACAAATTCAAGAAGAAAATGATCAATGGTATGAGTATGAAGTATTTTATAGAAAACCTGAAGAAATAAAGACATTTTAGTAGATCTTATCTTATTGTACTTAGTTTGAAGACTTTTCATGTAGTAGTTATCTTATTGTACCTAGTTTGAAGACTTTTCATGTAGTAGTTATCTCTTAGGAGTTGTAAAAATCTTTAAGTTTCCTACAAAGTTTTGAACTCAACTAGTTTTAGGAATGAATTGAGTTGAATTTGAACCTCTTAATACTCAGCTCAAGCAACTCACAAGCCTAATCGAGCTTTAAAATGACTATAATTAAGATAATACTGTGTTTGTTATGATATCTAGATGTAAAATTATTATTATTATTATTATTATTATTATTATTATATAAAAATAGAGATTTTTTTTATACTGAATTTATCCAAGTTGAGCTCAAATAGCTTGGACTCGAGTTTAAAAAAGAGTAAATACCCAAAATGGTCCTTCGACTATAGCTAAATTCACAAATTGGTCCTCGACTTTCAATTTTAACCAATTAAGTCCTTAATTTTGTAATTTTAACACAATTTGGTCCTCTGTCTATTTGACCGTTTGTTGACTGTGATTTTTGAGGATATATATGTAATTCCATGGTCCATCGTTGGTTTTTTAAGGTTCCGGTTGCATTTCTAGACTGCAATGTTACATTCGAGTCCACTGCCGAAAGCAATCTATTAAATCCGATCGCCTTTCTTCATCCTCCCTTTGGATTCAATGTAGTAGAGTTCGTACCAGAGCGAAGAAGACAACGTGTTTCCGAACCGGTGCAACGTCATCCTGGAGGCCTCCACGTGCTCCGACGAGAGCTGAAGGTTCTTCTAGAGATTGTCGATCATGGTCAACAAACGGTCAAATAGATGGAGGACCAAATCGTGTCAAAATTGTAAAGTTAAGGACTTAATTAGTTGAAATTAAAAGTCGAGAACCAATTTGTAAATTTAGCTATAGTCGAGGGACCATTTTGGGTATTTACTCTTTAAAAAAATTAAGTATGATCGAACTTAAACTTTAAATTTTGACTATTTAAGTTTGAATCGTCTCATTTACACGCCGAATTCTTTTTTTTTTTGAAAAACTACACGCCGAATTCTAACCATGTTTCATATAGTTTTCTTATTCCCTTTTTTTTTCTTTTTTTTTTTTCTTTTGCACCTCTAAATTTTATCTAAAAATACCGTGTGCTTCATATTAAAGGATTGTTCGTGCACCAGGACGCACAATGTATTGTGCACCCTGACTCAAAACGACGACGTTTCTATAAGTTGGTGGGGAGTTGACGCGAAGGACACCGTTTAGTCCGTCTAATCCTGTTACAATTTTTTTAACACTTGTGTTTATGTGTATTATGTTAAAAGTTTATGTGTATTATGTTAATAGTTTATATGTATTATGTATTATGTTAAATTATGCTTATTATGTTAGGAGTTTATATATATTCTATTACAGCTCGTTTGGTTCGCTGGAAAATATTTGAAGGGAAGTGGAATTGAAATTCCAAGAAAATAAATTCCATTGTTTGGTTGGTGAAAAAGAAATTACTGGGAATATGAGTTCCATTGTTTGGTTGAGTTTGGAATGGTAAAGAATAATGATTACAATGACAAATATAACCCTACACAACAATAATAATATAATAATAATGAGAGTAATTAATAAAGAATGGCATTCAAAAAAATAATAATAATAAAGAATGATGAGGGTAAAATAGTCATATTAGTTTTCCATGGAAAACTTTTTCCATGGAAACAAAATACCTAGTATGAGCTAGGAATTTGTTTTCCTCATTCTCAAGGAAAACATTTTCCAATGGAAAATATTTTCCATCCAACCAAACAACATAAAACATCATTTTCCTTCACCTTTAGAAAAACATTTTCCATTGAAAATGTTTTCCATCCAACCAAACACCCCCTTATATAAATCTGTACATACAAAATATGAAATATTTTTTTTTAAAGAAATTAACAGCAAATACACCAGGACTATGTGGTCTAATGGTATCCGGGTTGGACTTTCATTTGGAAGGTTATGAGTTCGAGCCTCAGTGTGGAGGTGTTATTGGCTCTTTGTGTTTCAGTAGGTTGAGAAAGTATATGAACAGATACTACAATCTAATAGAGTTAGTAGCATTCAAAAAAAAAAAAAAAAACAGCAAATACAAAAAATATTTTTTTTAAAAAAAATTATTAATTAAAAATACAAAAGGACATCGTTTTAGACCAGAGCGCACAATGCATTGTGCGCCCTGGTGCACATATAATTTGCCCATATTAAATACCCCGGGTAATGCAAGGCCCAAAGGGACAAAGAGCAGCCCATGTTTGAAAATCAGTCCAATTAGGGCTTACAACTCCAAAAGAGTATTGCCTTTTAAACTCTCATTAGCGCCCCTGCTTCCACTCTCCGCCATCTCCGAAGCCGAAGGTAGGGTTCAGACTTGATAGCTCTCTCTCTCTCTACGTACAGGCCCGGTCGGCTATCTGTTTGCTAGAAGGTGAGCTTTAATCTAATGTTGAATATTAGATTCTCATCTGTTTATTATCTTCATTCACTTTTAAAAAATGTCTGCTTAGTTAATTTGCCAAAAACTCAATGCCATTTTCACTTTGAAGTTAGAATGCTATTAGATTGTTGAAGTGGTTTTCAGACGTTGATTAAATCTTATATGGTTTGTTGCTGTGCCTGAGATTGAAAAATGGATCATCTTCTTTGTTGGGAGCAAGTATAAATGTAGAATTAGCATGCAAATGTTATTATTTCAGAAGTTCTTTATTCACTTACACTGTCAATCTGTCATTTAGTTCTGCTTACTCGTATAGCTATGAATTTTGATGGTAATCTTTGTATTCACTAAGGGTGTGTTTGGTTCGCACATGGGAATCGGAATCGGAATGGGTATCAAATACTTGGTAATGGTAATGGGTTTTGGTGAAAGTATTTAGCATGTTTGGTAGTAGGGTGGAATGGGAATGGTTACCAATAGTAGTGCTTGAGAATGAATAGGGGAATGAAACCCTTATTTTATTTGGGTATGAGTTTTTACAATTGATGGGGTATTCGAAACCCATAGTAGTGTTCTAAAAACCTATCAAGCAAACAACAACAATCACTTTCATACCCATTCCTATGGGCAAAACCCACCAACCGAACACACCCTAAGTCTTCACATTGGTAAGTGTTGTAGTTGAGATTAATATGCTTAACTATTTTGTTCAAAAAGTTCATTCATTGACAATTAAATAATTATAATGATGCAGGCCATAAAATGTATTAGCAGACATCTAGTATAAGATTGATATTGGTTAATAATGTAGTTAATTGTTTATGTTAAATTGTTTTTTAAAAAAACTTGTTAATGATAACTGAACATTTGCTTCTAGTAGGTTTCAAAATGTACACTGCACTGCAGAAGATTCACAAGGATAAGGATGTTGAACCATCTGAGTTTGAGGAGACTGTTGCCCAGGTCACTTATGGTTATTTATGGAAGTTTTAAGTTCTATGCCTGTTATTTCTTGGAAAACAATATCTCATTTTGCTATACTTTCATGGCTAATTCATCTGCAGGCATTTTTTGACTTGGAAAATACCAACCAAGAGCTTAAGAGTGATCTAAAGGACCTCTATATTAACTCTGCTGTGTATGGAGCATCTTGATTTCATACAAGCTCTTTTCTTTTGGAATTTATCATTGTGATCTTTATTGTCATTTTATTCCTGCAGTCAGATTGACATTTCTGGGAACCGCAAAGCTGTTGTGATCCATGTCCCTTACAGATTAAGGAAAGCTTTCCGTAAGATTCACCTTAGGCTTGTCAGAGAGCTTGAGAAAAAGTTCAGTGGGAAGGTAAAGTTTCAATGATCTCACTAGGTGTTATACACATATTATTTATTTTAAACACATCCAATATGCTTGCTTTCCTGAGTATTGTATGTTAAGAATTATGTACATCAGTAGGTATATTCTTCTATGGCCATTCTAGTTTTCCTTTCTGATGATGTGGATTTTTATTTTAATGTGAAGTGAATGCTTTAATGAGCTTGTGAATAATTTGGTTTATGTTCCATAAGTGAATTTATTCTTCTATGCCCGTTGTCCGTTTTGACAGTGTGATTATATGTAGGATGTTGTTCTTGTTGCTACGAGAAGGATAGCACGTCCACCAAAAAGGGGCTCTGCTGTACAGAGACCTCGCTCTCGGACACTTACAGCTGTGCATGAGGCAATTCTTGAGGATCTAGTGTACCCTGCTGAGATTGTAGGAAAGCGCATCAGATACCGTATTGATGGTTCAAAAATAATGAAGGTAGCTGATACTTCAACATATTTATTTGATCAATATCATTTGCAAAATACCATAAGCTTTATCCCCCTCTATCTATGCATCAACTTTTTCTTCTTTCATGGCAGGTTTTCTTGGATCCAAAGTTCAGGAATGACACTGAATACAAATTAGAGACATATGCTGGTGTCTACAGGAAGCTTTCAGGGAAAGATGTTGTCTTTGAATATCCAATAACTGAAGCTTAAGAGGGCCTTTCTTTTCCTGTTTGATACGTGTCTTAAGTTGAAGCATGTCTGCTTTTATTGTCTAGGCTTTCTGAAATTTTTTTGATTGGCAAACATTTCCTTCAGAAGTGAGAATATTTATGAAAGATTGTTTGTGATTAGTCTTTGGAAAAAGTTTGGTTGAACTTTCATACTGGAAACAAATGGTTTTATTTACACCTGAAAATTGGCTTCCATAGATGTTGTACCTTCTGCTACCAAAGCATCTGCTTGGAAAGAGAAACTTGTCTATTCTTGTGCCAGGAATCTAGTACAGTTCTGTTGTCAACTATGTAAACGAAAACAGGGAACTCTCAAAAAATTAGGCCCCATTTGACCACTATTATATGTTTGAGTTGATTAAACAATTAATATAAGTGTTTTGATTAATTAATTTTTTATAATAATTTATTGCTCTAAAAGGTTAAAATTCAAAAAATTATTTAAAGTAATTTTTTTTTTATCAATTTTTTGAATAAATCATTTTGCATATAATCCATTCACAATAAATTTACCAAACATTTTTTAATTATCAACTAGTCAAATTTATACCAAATTAGTTAATAGCTAACTTACATCCCAATCAAACTAACACGTCAAACTTACAACCAATCAGTTAAGTTTACACACAATCAGTTAACAGCTAACACGTCAAACTTACACCCAATCAACTAATTTATATCAAACATTTTTCTAATTATCAACTAGTCAAACTCACACCCAATCAGCTAACAGCATTTTCTTTCACAAATTTACGGAACTCAAACAATTCAAGGTTGTTTCTTATGTGTCTTCACATTTTGGCAAAATATGATTTTCACAATAAAAAGATCATTTTCAAATTTTATTGGTATGCAACAGATCTTTTTAATATACATGATACAATGGTGGGGAATTTGTACTACATATTACAAGAAAATGCCACAATCAACATATGTGAAACAGCGTCGAATTTTCATGGCTTCTGTGATTTTTCTGCAAAAAACATACTGTTTATTCCCGCTCTAAACAAACTTAAGCCCAATGTAGTTGCAACTGCAGTGTTTGTGTTTGCTGGAGAAAATAGGACATCGCCTTCTGCGACAATTTCATTCGATGATGGTGTTGTCATTGCCCCCTCTCCTGCCATGACAATAAAAATCGAGGGGCCTGGAACTGCTGGAAAAACGGCCTTGGCTGCCCGAGGAAGGATACATTGGTCTATCTCGAATTCTTCAAATGGTGGGAGATATCTTGTCGTATATGGGTTGAGTGCATTCCCTTTAAGTATTTCAGGAAAGCCCTGCATCATTAATAAAAAAAAATTAAAAAAAAAAAAAAAAAAAAAAACAGGATTGAAATGAAAAAAGAAGACTACACCAGTGATGTATATAACCTTCTAAATGTAAGGTCAAGCAATGTAATGATATATAAGTATTCTCAATCCTGAGCAGTTCATGGGGTAAGGGTCTAAATGTGAAAATAATGCCGACATATAACTCATGCTTTTGAACCTGTGGTTCATGATCAACAGGCCTCGTGAAATTTCTCATTTCTCACAGAATCTCAAGCTACCCCTAAAAGCATCAATCATCTTGCATTGTCTATTTCATGAGTGTGAGCATTACCTGTTTGTACGTAAGCATAGAACAAAGAGTTTTAACATCCAGATGCTTTGGAGTAAGTCCAGCACGCACCACATTATCTGATGTTGCCATGCATTCGATACATTCACCAAGAAGATAAGCATGTGGTTCATTTGCCCCCAAATACAGTGCTTCACCAGGCTTAAGTTTCACGTGGTTAAACAGGAAAGCTGCTAGAACACCAACATCACTTGGATACTGCTTTTCAAGTCTCAATACTAGCTGTTCTTTCTCACATAGATTCCTCTGCTGTATTTATGAAAAAATAAAAATAAAAATAAAAAGCCAGTCGTTGGTATCACAATGTAAAATATTCTTGAATCTATAATTAACATGACACAGTCGTTGGTATCACAATGTAAACCTAGGAACCCCAATTTCTATAGTTTTTAATTCCTAAATCAATGAATTTTAGGGAAAACCAAGTTCAACATCATCAAAGTATCGGGTAGGGAAACTGGGCAAGAGAAAACCAAGCCCAAAGAATAAAAAGAATGAAGGAAAAATGATCACATGAATAGGACAGTGGATGATAATAAATCAAGCTCTATTCCAACAATCTTTATATGGGTTTTGGTGTGCTACTCTAAGTTAAACAGTGCACAAAAAAGAAAGTAGTCTAGTCCATGGAAAATTCAGCTTTTGATCAGCAGAAAAAGCATCTGTTTTGTAATCCCCCCCACCCAAAAAAAGTATCTCAAATGCTATCCTGTGCATGGATTAAATATAACAAACATAGTAGGACCAATAGAAGAGTCTGAGTAACCTCGTTTTTTTTGTTTAGCCGGCTTATCAGCTTGGATACAACTTTCGAAATCACATCCTTGCTAGATGACATAAGCTTTGTAAATAACAACCGCAGAGTTAATTTTGCATTCTCAGCTCCATCCTGTTCTTTCAAGTTTATCAACTGCTCTATATATGCATTGCCAACCACTTCTGCTATCTCGGGCACTGTTTGTAAAACAACCTTCAGTTCCTTAAAACCCAAAAAAAAAAAAAAAAACCTTTAGCTCATTGATAGAAAGTCAAGTTTCTTTCAAAAACTGGCTCAATACCTGAAGTTGGATTCATGTACAAAACTAAGTTCATTCACTAATTTGACTTAAAAACCACTTCTACTCAAAGTAAATGAGTGTGAGTTTCAAAGGGAGCTGGGGAGAAGATGACAAGAAACGTTATCTGAAAAGTTACCCCAAAACTGACGAATCCACATAGAGCCTCAAAGGGAGTAAGTGCCAGAGTCATCTCAGGCTTGTGATTACTGTCTTTATATACTAGAGGTTGCTCCTTGTGCAGGCAAGCAGCCAAATCCTTATCAGGGTGAGCCTGAATCGACAACGCTTTTGCAATTGAGAGTACCTAAAACGCAGTAGAACATCCCCAACTAAACGACATAAGCAAATGGATAATCGAGCTTTGGGTCAATAATATACATAAAGAATTCAGTAACTTGGAACAAGAGATCCCTACAAGAGATTCAAATGCTCCTTTTAACACCCAGTTTAGGTAGTAAGGAATGCAATTTATATGCAGATAGCATAGTTCATGCCAGCATGACAGCTCAGTTGGTTCAGAATGGTAGATTGTGAACAATATAGCATAGTACATTTCAAATTTCGAGAGAATTCATAAAGCAGTGCAGATTAATTAATATATATAATGAATAAAGTGAAAATGAAAAGAGAAGACCTTGAAAAGGAATGGAAGATCGGGGCCCCACTTCTTAAGAACCTTATCACCGAGGACACTAGGGTTCCGGCGAATCCAATCCTTGAGAGTGACTACAAATTTGTCTTTCGCCACACCATTCGACAATCCATTCCCGGCTATTCTCCCCGGCGGCGGTGCTCCTCCCACCACGACATACGACGGCCCGGACTCGTGCGTCCCCATCCAGAACTCCGCGTAGGGCTTCCCTTCCTGAATCTCGTCGCCAGTGTTGCGGGAGTAGAGCCGCGCCACACCGGATTCCCGCCCAATGCGGCCCCAATCGTAATTCTTAACCGCACACCTGAGCCTCAACAACGCCCCACCCGTCCCCGCCGCCGGAACCCCATCAACCTCCATGGACTTGCCTCCAGTCTGGACACAGAGTATAAGCAAACCAGAACTGTGAATCCAGGCGCTCAAAATTAACAAATATATAACCCAATTATAACTAAAACGACAAATTGAATTTTCTGTGAACAGGGACAAATTTTCTGTGAACAGGGACGAGAACGACTGGTTTCTGAAAGTGGACAATCGCGAGGGAAAGCGCATGTGAGGGAGATAGAAATTGACGTTATCGTCGCCGGATAAAGGAGGCAGGGATGGCGACGGCGGAATGACGCCACGCGATTGATGATCGCGGTCGGTGGCGTTGTCGTCAGTTCACTCCACCGCAGTTTGCAACTTTGTTTGATCAACAATATACCTATGGGCCCTTTCGATTTAGTTTATTGTTTGACTTTTATTACTTTGACTAAAATCTGGAGTTAATTCCAGCAATGATCCTCCGACTATATTGATTTTTTAAAATTAGTCATCAATTTTTAATTTGAACATTTTATGTCTTTTGATTTTCAATTTCTTTTCAATTGACGTACTTTTTTCAATGACTATTTTACTCTTTCATTTAAAGTCTACTTTGTCGTAATCTGACGAAATGACCTCAATTTTGAAAGTCAAGGGACGTAAAATGTCCAAATTAAAAGTCGGGAACTAATTTTGAAAAATCAATATAGTCGAAGACCATTGTTGGAATTAACTCAAAATCTTTTTAGTTAATACCACTTTCACTGAGACTCGAACCTACATCGCCCCATATGAAGGAACAACTTAGTGTCACTAAACCACAAGATCCTTGGCTTATATCTAGTATTTAAGATGCCACATAGTGTTGTAATAATTAAGTATAATTATATATTTATAGATCACAAATAATTGACAACTATTATGTAATGTGATGACATTTCTGTTACCATTTCAAATTGAGTCAAATTATTTTGAGAACTCGAGTCCAACCTTTAAAAAATTCACAATTTGTATACTACGAACACATAATGTTAACATATATGTAATTGATTACATTGTTTTGTATTCACAAGTTCCTTTCAAATATTGCAGTCATACAATATTAACATATTAGGATCGGATGACCATGTATTGTATTCACATATTCCCCATTCTACAGTTGTTATGTGTTTTGACTTAGAAACACAATTTATATTATAGAAGTTCATAATTTCAATTTAAAAAATACACAATTTATACGTTGTTTATGACCACCCTGGTCCATAGTATAACAACTCCTAAATTGGTGATTACATGATCGAACCCGAGATATATAACATATATTACATTGTAAAGAATCGTGAGTGTTTCAAAATCACAAATAAATACTTTTTCCCATGTACACATTTGGATAGCGGGATTTGTTAGAAAAAATAACATAAATTGATATAAAATGACATTTTAAGTAGCTATTTTGTGGTACAAATATCAGTGGGGTCCACTTTCGATTTGAGTTGAGTCAAAGTGGATTCGGGTTCTTCGTAGTGAGACGAAGAGATTGATATATTGTACGC